ATTTAACAAATGTCTCACTTAACAACACAAATTTTGGCTCAATTGTGGTCATAAATCAAGGACTACCTGTATATTCAAAGGATTGCACATACAGTCATGGTTTTCGAGCTTTATTTGGAAGTGCCCTGGCATTCCTTTGTACATATTAAGAGATTTCTCAATGAGGAGGTCAATAGTAATGAGCCCTCAACAGTGAATAACAACTTATTGAAGTACATAATCAAAGGAAAGGATCTTAGAAGTTATCTAATCCAACCCGTGTTCTATGGGCAGTCCAGAAGAACATTTCTGATTCATAACTATGTAGTTGCAGTACATACTGAGTAAGTGCTGATCAAGTGTAGAGCTTCTCCAACATCTTCTGATCGCTTGCAGAAATGCTAGGTTAAAAATGATATAATTCTCAGCCAAATTGCTTTCTAACATATGATGGAGGAACAGATAAAAAAGAGTCTTCAAGGCTATAGAAGAAACTTCAAACATTTCTTTTTGCAACTCCGTCTGACCATAATTGTTGAAATTTTTTAGCATTATTTCTTACTTTGCAGGTGAAAGTTGTTATGAAGCCTCAAATAGGTATGTATCAATTTAACAAATATCAAAGATCCCCAAATCCCCCTAACCAGGCTTCACTCACATTTCTGTAGTCCTTGTTTCCCCATCATGACTCAGTGTAGCCCTCAACCTTCAGATTATCTGCTCCTGTTCCATGTACTCTTCATTTTATGCCCTCAGATTCTGTAGTGAAGTAAAATTGTCTTTAAGTCAAACTTGCTTCTCATGTCTACCTGAACTTACACATTCATTTTTCTTAGCATGATACGGAAATGATTTCTCATTCATTTATTTGTTTATTTAATTTATATAGTTGAAAGTACCTCTGGGTGACATATAGTACAGCAATCAAATAAAACCACAATATAAAATAGCAATAGCACTTAGACTTATATACCGCTTCACTGTGCTTGACATCCCACTGTAAGCAGTTTATAGAGTCAGCATATTGCCCCAAACAGTCTGGCTCCTCATTTTACTGACCTTGGAAGGATGGAAGGCTGAGTCAACCTTGAGTCTGGTGAGAATCAAAATGCTGGCAGTCAGCAGAATTAGCCTGCAATGCTGTATTCTAACCATTGTACCACCACAGCTCTTAAAAAGAGCCATTATAAAAACAATCATTATAACAATAGAGAAAATAAGTATTAAAAATTTAAAAAACATTAACAAATTAAAATATGCAAATCACAAATGGAGAGAGAAGTATAGCAGCTCAATTTACCCATAATAGGGAAGCCTCCTTAAAATGTCACTGGTTTCCTGGAGCCCCCAAGCCTGCTGACATAACCAGGTCTTGGGAGAGTTCTTGAACATTAACATGGATTGAGCCAATTTAATGATGGGGGATACTTTTCCATAAGGTGAGTGAATTGCCTGGTACCCATCAAATACAGGCACACATCTGTCCCTCACAGCCCTCTCTGCTGGATATAATAGGACAGATTGATGTAATTAGGGAGAGGTAGTCCTCAGATAACCTGGTCTCATGCCATGAATGGCTTTAAAGGTCAAAACCAGCACCTTGAACTTGGAAACAAACTGAATCCAATGTAACTCCTGGAGCAAAAGTATAACACAGTATGTTATACCTTTGCTCCAGGAACTGCATTGGATTCCAGTTCTGGGGGTATGAATAATTGTCTGTGCTACTGCATTCTAGACCAGTTGAAGCTTCTGGACAAGGGCAGCCCCATGTAGACATTACAACAGTCTAATCTGGAAGTGACTATTATTGCCTTCTTCCAGAATTTTTTTTCTTCTTACTTTAGTCTACAACTATACCACAAAGAAAGAGAAATACAGAAAGTGACAAGAAGAATTGTGTTCCCTGAAAGGAGAAATCTTGAACCTTTTGAATGCATTTGAAAGTTTGAAAGCTACTTTAGCAGACACCTGGTGACAGCACATGAGTGACAACTTGAAGAAATTCAGATTCTTTTTTTAAAAATTGCTTGGTATTTTTGGTTTTTTTAAAAACCTACTGCTCACAAATCCAGAAGTACAAATTGATGCACTCCATTTTCTTGTCCTGGCAATAAGATATTTCCTGTATTTGAATGTCAGCCTTGTGAGCCTTCCTTCCAGACAGGAAACATGACTAGGTAAGATAATTCTACTTTATTATATGGCTACATTAACAGAATCTTGCAAGTCTGAAAGTATAAATCTCCTGCTGTCTCTTTTACAGTCTGATAAATTAGGGAGAGCCTTTCTCAGCTTCTTTCTCCTCCCATTATACAGCTGCTGGCTATGCTGTCTCTTGTCTGACTATAGCCTAGACTGCATCACTTTGGTCCATCTTCAAGGCATTTCTTACATTCCTTTACTTCAAATAAAAGACAAAGTTGGTGCATGCTTGGTGTGATAGATTGTATCTAGGGAGGGGGACTGGACTACGTTGAAATGGCAGTTTCTAAAGAAGAAGAGATTATATTCCAAGGAAGGAGAGGAGATAAAAGACAACATTTTCCAGAACCTGGAAATGGACAGAGAAAGAGACTTAGGATAGCCATTCCCTAGAACCATGATGGTGAACCTACGGCACGCATGTCACAGGTGGCATGTGGAGCCATATTGGTGGGCACGCAAGCATTGCCCTAGGTCATCTCCAGTGTGCATGGGCCCACCGGAAGTCAGGAAATAGGCTGTTTCTGGCCTCCGGAGGGTCTCCGGGGAGGGGAGGCCATTTTCACCCTCCCCAGGCTCCCAGATAGGTGCCCTGAGTCTCCAGAGAAAGGCAGCATATAAATTGAATAAATAAATAAATAAATAATAATAAAACAGACCCTCCAGTCCCACCGGAAGTAGACAAACGCGGAGTTTCTGGCCTCCAGAGGGCCTCCAGGGGTGGGAAGGCTGTTTTTGCCCTCGCCAGGCTCCAAGAAAGTCTGGGGAGCCTGGGGAGGGCGAAAAACGGGCCTACTGGTCCCAACGGGCTATTGCGTGCCAAAAGCAGGGGAGCGCAGGGGGTCACGTACACATGCGCAGGGGGTGGGGCGCATTGAATTATAGGTGTGGGCTCATGCACATGCAACCACTGCCCCACGCTCCCCCCCACTTTTGGCATGCCACAGCAAAAAGGTTCACCATCACTGCCCTAGAATCTCCCTGTATATCCGTTAGAGCGAGAATACTATAGGTTTAATCTGGCAAGATTCTGTATATATGATATGAGCAAACAAAGAACAGAACTTTGCCTGGATTGTTCTATCTTGGGTTGGGCCTGACATTTGATTGCCTGCTATCCCACCTGTCCTCTAGGAGCTCAAAAGAGTAATCAATCATTCATTTATTCCACAAGAGCAACCTTGTGGGTTAGGTCAAGCCAAGAATGATTGACTGGACAGGTCCATGGCTATCCAGTAAAGTTCTATGCTGACCATGGATTTGAACTTGGGCCTTCCTAACTCTAGTCCACATTGGCTCTTTAATTATGTTAGAAACTTAGCTATTCCATTTCTCAGGTGAGTGGGTATTTCTGTTTTGATTAGCCTATGACTGGAAGCTATTACATCTGGGAATCCTCAACTTTCTTGAACACTGCCCATTTTTTAAATGGTAAGTGTAGGCAATGATTATTCTGGCTTTATGACCTTGCAGGAACCCTTTTTTCTTTTAATTGTGGATGGGGTGAGCTAAATTATTCTGACATAATCCTCTCCTTCATGGAAAATCCAGTTTACAAAGAATTTGGAAGTGGCAGTTTACAGTCTGATGTCTGAAAAAAAATACTTTTATTTTATTACAAATTGATTTCCTTCTGCCCCACGCCTTAACAACGTACAGTGCTTTTGAATTGGATTAGACATTATGTTTATATTCCATTATTGCCACTAATTTACCATGTGATACATCAGATCAGATTTCTTAGATATATTGCAACTCACTCTTTGAAAACTGAGCATCTTTCATATTGTTATTTCAGCTTGAAAACTAGGACAGGTTAACAACTGATTTAAATGCTGACCTAGAACTGCCAGTGAGAAGGATAACAAAAGATTGTGAGTGTGCATCCAAGCTTCATCTCCCCTTCATGTGTATCTGTGCAAACTCAATTTGTGATCAGGTTGGTTACACAGGATAGGGTTTTATTTTTCACAGTCTGCATAATACAAAAATAATATTATCTTCCAGGATGACAATATGGTCAAAACGGTTTACACCTTAACTGAAACATTAAAAAAAACAGGTGCAAGCCTTTGCACACATGGATGCACGCGCATGCACACACACACACACACACACACAAACTGCTATGTATGAAATGGAATAATGAGTGGAGTTTTACCTGACAATTCCCACAATTATTTCAAAACAAAGGAAATTGAGGAGGACAGTCTATAATTCCCCATCTTGCAAAACAAAGGCAGGAAAATGCCAGAAGTTATTGTCATGGTCATTATTGTTAATTTGCCAAGCTGTCACTCTCTACTCTATGAAACAGGATCAACAATAAGAGATATTCTCTCACCCTTCCCAAATTCCCCCCCCCCCCCACAGAGCTATTGTTTATCTCCAGTAAGGTTTCACCTGCTGAGGGGTTGTCTTTCATTTCAGCCTGTCAGCCTCACCCCCACACCCCAGTTATGACAAAGCCTTCATGGAGCAAGGCCTGTCTGTCGCCTGCCTTCTGATATTTTTCTATCCCCTTCTTGATAATAAGTTACTGAGTTCCTTAGGTTTTTCTTGTGTTTATGTCATGCAGGTTTCAGATTGCAAGATGCACGAGAATCTAGATACACAGCCAGAGAAATAGCTATGCCCCTGCTCTTTCCAGTGCCCCAGTTTTCTCTGTGTATATATGTATGTATGTGGTGTGTGTGTGTGTGTGTGTATTTCTAATATTCCAGACTCCTGTACAAATCCAGGTCTGGTTTTAAAACCTGCTTTGCCCTTTCATTTTCTTCTTCTGTCTCTCTCTTTCTCTCTCTCTCTCCCCTCTCTTTCTTTCTTTCTTTCTTCTCCCCCCCCATCTCTGCGTCCCTCTCCACTCCATCCTTCCCCCCTCCCAACCTTTCTGTGCTGTGCTCTCAGGGGGATGTCAGCACTGCTGCAGCATCACTAACAGGCTCATCCAGAAGGTTGGGAAAGAGGGAGAGGCGGAAGGGGGGAGAAAAAGCTGAATGAATGGGCATCGCACTAGTGATCATTATGGGGAGAACGGCGGCTGTTGCACAGAGAGGCGGATTTTTTTGAAGGAGGAGCAAAAGTGTGTGTGTGTGTGAGTGTGTGTATTGATAGTGGTGGTGGTAGGGAGGACAGAAGACAAGGAGAGGAACAGAAGAGTTGCCACAATAATTCACACCGGTCTTCATCACAAAGCTTTCTTTGGACAACTACGCCATGGCAAGAAGGTAGTGTCAGCACATGGGTAGCCGTCTCTTCCACTGATGCCCCAGGTGAGTCCAATGCAGTCTTCATTCTTATGATGCCAAATGTTGGGGGGGGCTTCACATGATACCTTTACCTCTGCCACCGTTTGCTTTGTGAGGGGAAAAGGATGGAAGGTAATATTGCTAAAGCGTTGCCTCTCTAGAACAGGAGGAGGGATAAATCAGGGAGGGTGCTTGTGGAGTAGCACACCTTGTCATCTTACTTCCCCTTTTGTGCAACCCCCCCTCCCTCCCGCTGGTGTTTCCCACAGGCAACTTAGTGTGTTGTTGTGATACCCTCAGATCATCCTGGGTAGTTCTGGTTCCTCTTCACTTCTAAGACCTTGAAACGTACCTGCTTGCCTTGCCGGTCTCCGCTTCCTATGAGCTTTTATGAGAAGAAGGAGAAACAATTGTCATTCATGTGGGGCGGGGAGGGGGGTGCAGGAGGGAGAGAACGGTGGGAAATAATGTGGAGAGGCAGGGAGCCATTTCACGCTATCCCGCTTGGCAGCAGGATTCGAGTGTTTGGTGTTGCTATTGATTTTATGCGTCACAGAGTCAGATACCATGGTGATGGGCAGGGGCGAGATGGGTGGGTGGTTCGTGTTCAGGCCCACTAAGTTAGCTTGAAATAACAGCCAGGCACAAATGTGGGCAATGTCATTCTGCCATTGGCAGGTGGCAGAGTCGGAAGGGTCTGGACTGCTTTTGGACAGCCTCAGAAATGGCCCTCACTGAGTGAGGAGCTGTCAGAACAAATCAGGGAAGGCGCCATTTATTTATTATGAGTTCTATAGCTTCCCAATGGAGTAATGCTCTTCTAGTCAGAAAACAAGAGTAGCAATAACGACAAAAAAAGAAAAGAAAAGAAACTTAAGAATAACCTGTCTGCCTGCAGAGGAGAGACATGTGTCCTGGGGCGGGGGCAGGAGGGGCAGAGAGAAAACTACAGGGGAAAAAAATTGCCAACTCACACGGAAGAGGCTCATGTTTAAAGCTTTGTGTTGATTGTCTTGGTCATATTCTGCAGTCTTCCTGAATCTGCACCCAAAAAGAAATGCACTGGTTTCAGGATTGGTCACGGAGCCTGTATTTACATGGTTTTCTTTCTACCTCTAAAAAAAAAAACAAAGAGACATGTGTGCTGTGACAATGGGAAGCTTGACTTCTGTGACAGGTAATATGCTTGAGTTTGTGGTGCATGTGTATGATGACCAAGTGAGCCCGTAGTGGCTGACTCGTGTGTGGAAATGTGAGAAGGAACACTTTGTCTAGTTTGTGTGTGCATGTGTGTGAGAGACAGAGAATGAGAGAGAAAGGAAGGAAAGATGAGAGCATTCTGTTGCAAGAAGGGAGAGAGTGTGTATACATGTGTCAAATCTACATCAGCCAGTGGCAATTCCATTCCATAACTTGTAGCAATGGTTTGTGAAGGTAAAGTACACACATTGCTTTGGCAGAGAGTATCCTTCATCCATCCATGTTTCAAATAATTTCTTTGATATTATCATGAACACAGGAAGAGAAGAAAAAAGGAGGGTAGCTTTCTGAAATGAAGGGAAAATTATCCTTTATTACACGACCATCTGTGTGCTAATAGAATTATTAACACGACAAAACAGATTAGGAAAGTCAGGAGGAAGTTTTAGGTAGCCTCATGCCTGCATTCTAGCCTGATATGCTTGCCTTATAATGACCTTGAGATTGCCAACCAATCATCTAGGGGCTTCTTGAATGTGAAAAATCGTGAAAGTACAAGCTGAAAGGCGGAGTGTTCCTAAGGGAAGAAGTTTGAAATATCCAAGCAGTTCCCTTTCATAATTGACAGAGAGTTGGAGAAAAGAACCAGAGTGACACAATGAACTCAACAAGGTTTTATATTGATCAATATTATTCTTATGGATTTCTCTTATTTTTCCATCCTACTTTGCTGTTTGCATCTGGAAAGAACACAGCCCTTAATCTGCATTGCAAAATATCACATGATCTCTGTAGTTGTTAAGTAGCCCAAGTGGTTGCTTATTAAAACAACTAAGAAGTACAGCATAAGACCACTGAATTATTTCCTGTTTTTGTTATGCTCAACTTGCCTTGGATTTTGCTATAGGAATCTTACAGCAACAAGGAGCACGTGCTGTGGTATATGGAGATCAGCAGGGGGCGCTATGGTGTAAAGTGCTACTTTTTTCAACAGAGAAGGAACCAAAGCTGGTGACTGAGCCACAGACAGAGCTTTGCAGGTGGAGGTAGTGAATGTATAATTCAGCAACTTTTTCCACATGCATCGAACATTCCTATATATAAATTTCTTCTCTGCATTATGACCCGCTTGTTTGGTGACACTACTGGTTGGTGGTGAACAAAGACCACAGCTTGATAAAGAATAAAACTCAATGTAGGAAAGTGGTATCTCCCAAAACTTAGTTGCAGTTTTGTAAAAGAGCTGGTTATAGATTCTGAAAAGACTCCCATAAACATCATCGTTTCCTTCTAGAATCAAATACGAATAGGGCAGAGTTGGCCAGAGAACCTGCACTAACTTAAGTAGATGATGAAAAAAGAAAGATTGCTTTGCCATATAGTAATGTCACAAAAACAAATCTTTATTTTGGCCATATAATGTGTTGTAGTTTTCTAGCGATGTCATGATATTCTCACGGAACTGCAGATACTGGGAAAACACTATTATTTTACAGAGCTACACCACAGATACATAATTAATTCATGAAAACTATATTTTGATCTTACCCCCCCCCCCACATCCCTAACCTCAATCGTGTTTTAGTGTCATGATGATTCTGTTTGCCTTAGAAGACTTATGATGAGACTTTGAGCTGAATAGATACGGAGATACGGAGGATCCCGGATCTGCGTACCTTCCGTCGCGCGCTCAAGACTTTCCTATTTCATCAAGCCGGCCTGACCTAAGTCTTTCCCCTTTTTAAATGGAAATTTTAAATCTGGTTTTAAATTATTGGGGTTTTAAATTTGTTCAGCCAAATTATTTAATTCGTTTTAATCTATTTTAAATTTTGTATTTATATGTTTTATTCTATGGGTGTTCACCGCCCTGAGTCCTTCGGGAGTAGGGCGGTATACAAATTCATTCATTCATTCATTCATTCAATAAATAAATAAATAAGTAAATAAATAAATAAATAAATAAATAAATAAATAAATAAATAATAAGAAGTTTTACTAGTTTCCCTCCCCTAGACCAAACCTCAAAATAATGAATTATATCAGGATTGTTTAGCAGCCAGAACAAATTGCTCCCACAATAGGTTATCCACTGTTCTCTCCATGTTTGGCCAATCATTCAAGTTGCAAAGCCCAAAGCAAGCTTTTAAGCAGGCCTGCACACATGAATAAGCAGAACTAGTAAGGAAGACTTTCACAACAGAAAACAGGTCAGGATTTATTCTCCCACCTATCTACATGATTTATTCATTGCATTTTCATCTATATTTAATCCAGATCAGATATATGGAAAAAACTTGATTTTTTCCCCCTGGGTTTTAGACTTCTTTAAAAAGCTTCCACAAAAGGGATACAAAAGTGGTGCTTGTTGTGGCCCGCTGGCAGCCAGTGGAGCTGGCAGCAGAGTTGGACAGTGAGGAGGTTGGGGAGGAACATGAGCCAGTCCTGGGGGCTGGGGAAAGCTCGGACGAGGGCTCTGCATCGGAGGCAGAGAGGGAGATAGACAGCAGTGAGGTGGAGGAACAGCTGGAGCCCGTTCCCAGTGTGCGCATGCGTAGAGCTGCCAGAAGACAAGAACAACTCAGAAAGCAGGGGCAACTTGGGAGTAAAGCCACACCTTGGAGATGATTGGCCCCTCCCATAGGAAACAAAAGAGGAGCAAATGGGGAGGGGGCTTTTGCAGGAAACCATTCATTCGGTAATTTCAAGAGTGGAAAGTTCTGTTTGTGACTCTAAGAGACTCTGTGCAAATTTTTGCCTTACTCTGCGTTTGGAAACAAGTAACATGGCAGCTTGCCAAGTGAGATAAGGTGTGTTGATAAATATTCCTTTGAAAAACTGTTTGGACAAACCTTGTGAATGAAAGTAATTCACAGTCGTGTAAATAAAAGAGGTTTTCCCAGGACCAATTCCTGCTTCCTGCTTTTTAAGGGAGCCTAGGTCAGAACAGTGCTCAGCCCAAAAGTAATTGCCATGAATCCTAATCAATTAACAAAAATTAAGTTCTTAGCGCAGTACTTTGTACTAGAAAGATAACCAAGGTGACCAAGAACAATCCTGAAGTGCACAGTTGACTTTAGTAGGTAGGAACAAAGCTTCTTTACTTCAATTATCAGTTTAAAACTTCGTTGTTTTTAATCACACATATACCACAGTGGTGGGTTTCAAATTTTTTTTACTATGGGTGTGGCTTGGTGGGAGTGGCATGGCTTGGTGGAAGTGGCTTGGTGGGCGTGGCAGGGGGAGGATACTGTAAAATCTCCATTCCCACCCCACTCCAGGGGAAGGTTACTGCAAAATCCCTATTTCCTCCTGATCAGCTGGGACTTGGGAGGCAGAGAATAGATGGGGGTGGGGCCAGTCAGAATTTTTACTACTGGTTCTCCGAACTACTCAAAATTTCTGCTACCGGTTCTCCAGAACTGGTCAGAACCTGCTGAAACCTACCTCTGATATACCAGCATCTCACGGAACAGCCAGACACTTTCAAAATATGAATAGCGATGGCAGGACTGATAATCCAGCAAATTCCAAAAGTATCCGGAAGGAAACTCTGGTTTAAGGATTATCAGTATGTAGTAATCATCTTCAAAATCGATTTCAAGTGCAAACCACTATTTGCAGATCCTCTTAAAAATAGAGAAAATCAAATATATGGCATCACAGTGTGTATATGTGCATGAACAAATATAATTAAGGATGTTTTGTGTTCTAAATTCTGATGTCCATCCTAATGCCTCCCCTGTGTATTTCTTTGATAATGATCTTGATTTTGTAAAATAAGATTTTTTTCCCTCTCTGCATCTGGAACCAGCTACTATTGT